GTATCGTCGGTCACACTGACTTCACCAATATCAGTGTTCAGTGGAACACTGACACCCCGGCAATGTCAAAGTATTCACCTTTTGTACTTTGACTTTTAATTATCAATGGAAAAAATAGAACAAGCACGTCTACCTTTCCTAAATATATCGTGAATTTGGTCAATATATAATTTCAAAATAACGAGAACGACTTCAAACAAATGTATCACATCTATTTATCGTCTTAAGGAAAGGTAGACGTGCTCGTTCTATTTTTTCCATTGATAATTAAAAGTCAAAGTACAAAAGGTGAATACTTTGACATTGTCGGGGTGTCAGTGTTCCACTGAACACTGATATTGGTGAAGTCAGTGTGACCGACGATACCAGTGTCACTGAGTGTGTCAGTGCTTCAGTGAACACCGATGTGAGGATCATAAAGATCACCGATGTTCACTGAAATATCGGTGTCAGTGGCAACTGAAGTACTGATTAGCACTGACAGTGAAGTCACAGTGCTCAATGAGGGGTCAGCGTCGGTGATGTCGGTGATCAGTAAACCGACACTGCACATCCCTAACTTTGTTCAGTACTAGTTGTAACAATATGCTTATCTTGATTGCCCATGTGTAGCTTTAATCTGTTTAAAATGTTATTGAGTGAGGAGAACACTGTTTCATGGGAACAACAACCACATCTGTTTCTTTTCAGATATCATAAAAATAGGACATAAATCATGTCACTTAGTGAGGAGAAGTCCATATCATCATATGATCTTCGAGTGAGAGCACAACAAGACGGTTGTGAGCAACGTGTCGAAGTTAATCAGAGGATGCTCATCGTTAAAATTCTTGCTCGCTACTCATCTGATTTCGTTGTTTGTCGGGAACTCATTCAAAATTCTGATGATGCTCAAGCAACATCATTTCATTTTGAAATAACATGCGAAACTTCGAGCATTGCGTCGGATATGCAAACAAGATTAATCAACAAGCCTACTAATAATGATTCGACAGACAACACAAGTACTCAAATTTCTTCAGCTAACACTAAAACCACATTAGAACCAGAGGAATCAGCATCTCAAAATGAATCTCTATCGTTATTAAACCCGATATTGAAGTTTCATAACAGCATCATAACCGAGATTCGCACAGTCAATAATGGTCTCATATTTAATCAGGCTGATTGGAAACGTGTAGCATCAATTGCTGAAGGAAACACCAATGTTGATTCAGTTGGACAATTTGGTGTTGGATTTTTCTCTGTCTTTTCTTTTTCTGAAGAACCAATAATCACATCTGGAAACGATTATATGGCATTTGTCTGGCGAGATAATAATTCATTGACAACATTTCGTCATGAACTACCTATCGAACAACAATCCAAATTAACTTCAGTTATTCTCAAAATGCGAAGTAAGTATATTTTACAAACGGAAACAAATCCAGACATCAACATGAAAACCTTGGAAAATAAAAACTATGAGTCTAATATTAAATCAGCGAAAAAAACAACGAATAATATAACTATACAAGAAATTATACCAACAATCGATCTCACTCAACTCAAAGTCTATTTCACCAAAGGTAAAAATAAGAAGATAAACTAAGTCTTTTAATAGTACTTTTTTTCTTTGAATAGTACTTTCATTTACAAAGTGCATTAATGACATTGTTATTAAAATCAATGGCTGTACAGTATTTGAAGTAAAAAAAACAAAGACAAGATTGCCATCTATTAAAGGCATGTCACCATTTAAAAAACAAGGTTCGATTACTAATATGCTAAGTCTTAATTCATTTGTACAAACTGAACAAACATTTACTATTAACAATGGCTCTTCGTTAACTCTAAATCATGTCACTGTCGATGCAGTAGTCACAATTGATGAAAACTTTCATGATCGTATGCGACGTATTTTAAAAAAAAGTTTACCATCCAATGTTCCGATTCAACTCTTATATGCACCAAATAATGTAAATAAGTAAAATTTTTCAAAATGTATATCTCACTTCCAGGTTTTTTAGCTTATTGCCGATAAACAGTCACAAACATCATCGGTCAACAGTGATTCGAACATGAAAATTTTGCATTCGTTAATTCCGTTGAAGTTTGAAAATGGTGATATCATTCCAGCAGGTCTTCTATTCATGGGTATTGCGACACATCAGACATCAGGCATTGGAATGCATATCTGTAGTCGTTTGATACCGACGGTTGAACGTGAAAATATTGATTCACAAGATCCATATATTGCTCAATGGAACAAGGAGCTTCTTACGTCGATTGGACAAATTGCACGATTAATCTATGATCAAACAATAAGTATGAATTTCGATAAAACTAAGAAAATAACCGACGATTATGAAATTGCTCTCAGCTCATATTCATTTCAACCGTCTGTACCAAATAACAAAATCGGTATGTCTTCATCGGTTTCTTAAGATTTTTAATCGAAGAGAATTGATACAGCTTGTAATTCTCCGATCTACATTTTAAGTACTACTTGAATGAATATTTTTATGAAGCTCAATATCCTAAAGAAACATAATTATCGAACTAGAATAGTGTTAGCCTCGAGTCTTATAAGTATTCCTTTTAGTGTTCTATTTACCCTATTTTTCATGAAATATTGTCTTCTCATATTTCCATTTTGACAGGTGAGGCGATTATCGACGGTTTTTTTGCTTCAAAGAACGATATTTTCTTGCCCGTACAACAGAAACCATCCGACGGCCGTCTTATTCTTGTACCGTCAACACAAGCTTTTCTGGCAGGATCAAACATAATTAATACGTTTTTACGCCTTCCGCTAGTTCCATTCCAATTGGCTAAAAATGGTCTCATTCAAACTCTAAAAATACGTGGATTAATCGGTTATATAGACAAATCCATGATCGAAAAGACTCTCATGTCATCCACTTTATCGAAAAATGAATTTATCCAATTAGCCTCTTGGCTCTTTAGCAATGATGTCGCAAATGAAACATATGCTAAATATATTCTTTCAAAAGTTTCTATTTATGATCCAATTTGTCAACTTGGTATACGATTTCAGACTATTCGGTACTATGATGCTTTAAATACTCCATTAATGCTATATCTACCCAAAAATACTTTGCCGAGAGATATCTGTGCTATGTTTTCAAAACAACAACTTGAAGAGCAGTTATCATTACTACCTTTGAAGTTCAACGTTTTACTAAATATCTATTTAGAATCGGATAACCTACCTTTCCTAAAAGATCCAAATAAAAGTGCATGCTTACTCAGCTTCATTTCAACTCATATGGGTCAATTGACATGTGAAGAATGGAATAAAATTAAAAAAATCTTATCCCAAACTGCATGAATACTGACTACAAAAGGTATGAAAATGCCATCTGAATCATTCATTCCATCCGAATCTCTTTCACCTAAACTACCTACTGTATTACTTAATATAATACAAGATACTACAGACTACAATAATGAGCAAGTAAACAAAAATTCTGAAAATCCGGTTTCAATTTATTTTCTCAAGAACATTGGTTGTCGTATAATAAATATCGCAGCATTCAATCGTGATCAAGCTACTTCAGACAATTCTAACACTATGGAGGAATACATTCAACAATTAATAAAAGAAGGACACAATATGAATGAAGCAGACATCAATGAATTAAAAACGACTAAGTGGTTGATAGGTGAGTTTAGTCAAGATTTGTTTAAATTAGAATTTACCAGAAAAGCACCAACAGGCAGATTTTAGAATGATGTGACAAAAAAATGCTAAGTATTCTTTGTTAACAAACAAGAACAATCAATAGTAATATCAGATTGGTTTACAATTTTCATCTAGAAATATCTGAAACCTTGAGCCACTTTTGATTTACGAGTTGGGTTCAAACTAATAAAGTTTTCAGCAAAATCTATGTGTTACTGAAATTTTGGCATGCATGGAAATCAGCATTAGAGAGAACCGAATATATTCGTAAAGACGATATTTCTCATTGCTGGGTAGCATTATTTTAAAGATTCGCAAAGAATTTTCGAACACGTAAAATCTTTTCTGATTGTCGATTTGTGGAGAAAACACATAATACGGAAACGCGTATTTTGATATGACGATGAGCATTGAGTTTCTTTTCCTGACCTATCATTAATTTGAATGCAAAAAAAAACAATAACTTGGCTAAAAGTTGACATTCATAACTTAACTGACAGATTTTGTTCCACTTAAAAGAAAATCCCATTCTGATGCATGGAATCGTACTATATACCAAATCATATATTGAAGCATAGCTCAACGTTTTGAATCGTGTGCTAATACCTATGACCGAATTTTACCTCTGTAGTATCCTCACTAAACTCATTATATATGCGAAAAATGTTCTTTTTCCACTTGTCATATGCCTTGTGTTGATCACGATCAAAACTAGTCACGTAGTTTTAATAAAAGACTTTAACAATTTATCAAGTACTTGAAAATTTTGTATACGTACACATAGGTATTAGTGTTTGAAAATAATGCAAATGCTATTTCTTTATATATTTAGGTACGACTTTAGCAGAAACTAAAGAAACGAAGCGAAAATATATTCCTAAAGAGCTTTATTTTCCATCTGTCGCCATCGAGCTTCAATGGTTTACATTACCAATCGTTGATTGGCTCGATATCAATCCATGTTCACCTGAGTATAATTTTCTCAAAGAAATGGGTGTACAAGAAATACCTAATCTACAAAAACTTATCGAACGAATCATTCAAGAGCATGATGAGCAACGAAAAAAACAAAATACTAATGAAGAATATAAAATACCATTAGCACTTCATTTTTTCGTTGACAAATTTCAGAGATACTACTATTGTGTATGGAAAACAGGCTCATTTAAACAACATCGATTTTTTCCATCAAATCCGCTCGGAAAGACTATCAATCAAACTAATCCAAGGGATGTAATACTCTTATCGGCAAATGAAGTATTTAAAGTTATCAATCCATTTTTTCCTAGTCTTTTATCCGAAGTGATAGAATTATTTGAGAAAAATTGGGATATTTCATTGCTTGGCATCAAAGATCATCCAAGTCTTTCACAAGCATTCGACATTATGATAAAAAAAAAAGATGAACTCTTAACAGAACAATCAGCTTCGAAAATATTTGCCTATTTGAATGGAATCGAAGGATTAACTGCAGAGTTCATTAGGAGAGTAGGTCAATATAATTTCATTCCATTGCAAGGTTAGTTCATATCTAGAATGATGTCACCAGTTTATTCTACTTATTTAGGTTACTCAAATGGTACTATACTTATGAAACCATCACAAGTTTTCATTCGTTCAAATGCGACATCGAGTGAAACGACTAATAGTAGAACCGACAGTATGGATAGAAGTGGCCTCATTGACTATGTTGACTATGGTGTCGATGCCAATACATTTCTCTCTAATATTGGTGTTAAAAGCAGTCCAACGCCTTCAGTTCTTGCCTTACTGCTCATTGATCGTCAGAATGCTTATTTTGCAAGCGCAAACAATGACAAGGAGCTTTTGAAAATCAGAATTCATGTTTATATTGATTGTCTAAAAGAACTTGCGGATGCTATTAATGACTCAAATCAATTTCAATGGGAACCTGTATATACACAGTTAAAAACTAAAGCATGGTGTCTTGGTTTTCAAACGATTGTTCATAAAAAT